ACATGATGACCAAAATGCCAAGATGAATCGGTTACCGAAGTCTGTCATTAGGAATGGTCTACTACATGGAGTGCGATTCTCTCAAAAGCATTCCCACGTTGTACCGCTTCATTCGTCCACTACTTCTTACCTCTGATCCCTCCCTGGAGATGTATGTTGGGCATTTCTTGCGCCAGTGTTCCACATCTCTTCTACTTGTGGCCAATACAATCGCTCGCGTACCTTCCCTAGAGTCTTCGCCGTGGATTGCTTCTAAGAGTTGTTTCCTGGGTAATCCTTGATATCGATTTGGTAGCCTTCGTGCAATTTGTCCTTCTGGATTCTTGAATTGTAGTAACAACTTTAGTGAGGCGTGATCCGTTTTTAAAAGGAACTTTCGACCATACAGATACTTATAGAAATATTCCGAGAGCTTTAACCGCAGCCGGTAGCTCCCTACGGGTGACACAGTAGTTTTGTTCGTGTTTTGAGAGTATATTACTTTTTATTTCTATTTTGAACTTGTGATAACACATCACGAAGTTCCACATTATTAGTGTCGGAATCAACAATAAAGGATTCGCTGAACTGTGGGTATGTCACGGTTAGGGATCCAGAGAGTGTAATCTTCAAATTTTCAAATACTTCCTGGCATTCGGGTACCCATTTGAATTAAACTCCTTCTTCTGTAAGTCTATCTCTAGTAGTTGGGCTATATCGTCCCAGAAGACTTCTAAGTTCGCATCGCTATTTTGGTGTTATGCCCCCAATACTTTACTTTTCTCTTAAACAGAATGCATTTCTTGAAACTTCGCTTCATTTTTGCGACTACCAATTTCTTTAAGACTTTTCCCTGAAATAATGATGTCGTTTAAGTAATTACTTCAACCTGCTAATTTTCTAATCTAGAGCTCCAAATAAACCATCTAGTGTGTCGTTTATTCGGGGTAATAACCAGTACTTGTCTTACTGTGTTACATCATTCATTTTTATGTATCCAACACAAAATCTCGTAGACTATCTTTCCTACATACCAGCATTATAGGGGAAGCCCAAGATCTTTCAGAAGGATTATGCATGCCCTTTATAAGATTATTCACTTCCTCTTGGTTCTCCCAGGGAACTCTTTTGGGTTGTTGTTAAGTTGGTACTACCGACGTCTTCATCCAATAATAACGGCTCAGCTATTGTATTCGTTTCACATGATTCTTGCTCCTTGCCGAAGTGGTTACTCGTCCACCAAGTTAGTTAAAGCTTTAGGAACAAATGTCAGTTACGTTTCAGGTTCTTCTTCCCAACCGTAGTGATAAATTTGAAATACTGGTTCAAATACTTAAAAGTCTCTGACTTTGTAGATCTTTTCCTCGAATTTTTTCAAATTGGCTATTCTAAAAGTCTATGTTGCTCCAGTCCTTATGCACATACGCCTGACTAATAATGCTCTCGAAGTAACTTGGCAATAATGACATTATCAACTATATCGGCCACCAATACTCAAATATATAAGATTGTATTTCCAATTATAAATTCTACGTTACAATCACCATGCATTGTTAAAGTCTCTCCGATTGTTGTAATCAAGTTCAGCGAAGGGACGAATTCGCTATTCCTTTACTACATTGGATTGAAGAATAGTGTTGGATGCCCCTAACTATTCTAACATTGTGGTGACTTATGGATCCTTAAATGAACATTGAATTAGCTTCGTGCAGTTTTAAGAGGCTTGATGAGGGTGCGCCCCATAAACGAATACGTAGTCGTTATTAAGAAATCACTGCTAGAGGTACGGGAAAAAGAAACCCAAAATGTTGGGAAAGTGGAAGAACTGGTCATTCTGCCCGAGACTGCAATAATTACAGTAGTCTTTGGAAGTACCGGAATTCTGGAAGAATAAGTCACCACAAAAACACGGGCTCCTGGCGGAGATAGAAGGCCGTTGTAAAATTTCTATGTCGCGCAATAGAACACCTTTTAATTAACACCAGTATTATTAACTAATCACTCGTTCAATACTATTTCGCACACTTTAACGCTTTTTTACCCCTCTGATTTCTCTTTCTGTCATCTAGTAACTAGAACTGAACTGCACTTCCTATTTCACGGAAACTATTCATAGGGATTGGACTTGTTCTAGAAGGATTCCAAAATGTAGATTCTAGAGACTGTGGCCTTCTTAGTTAATAGTTCAGTACAAGCAACCCACCATAGATCTTTTGGCACTTCTTGGCGTTTAGTGGGTTACATACACATGATAATTGTTAAGGAACCTTATTTGTGATATGCCGACGCAGGGACTTTATGGCATAAACATTTTCATATTTTATTATACCATTAGTGTAAAGCTTATTGTTATTGGACTTAAGTATATTTCCGAAATCTACGGTCACGTAGGCAAATTCGCAGAAGCACAAATGAGGGTTTATCCCATGGTTAGTGTATTGTGCATTGATATTACTGTCAATAACCTCATTATTGGGAGGGATAATTTGTCGATTTCGGAATCTAGTGTACAAAATTTTAAGTTTAATAGATCAGTTCTTTTGTAGACTCGCTGAGAGTAACTAAACTTTAGTTATTTTCATAATACATTAATAAAAATCAATATTTATAATAAATTAGAATAAGTCGTAGTTGTAAGTTGTACAATAAATTCGTTATATTTACAACTCGGCGTTTCTATGGTCCTTCGAGTTATATATGTGGTACAATTGTACAAAAAGTTCATGCTTTCTAACATGGTAGCAGGATAAAACTTAATAAATTGTATTCAATAATTATTTCTTTTGAGCGTGTATAATTTCTGAAGTAATTGGATTTATTCACTGTAAAGTTTCTAAAACCGACACTTCAGGCGCTGGCGTCAACGTGCACATAGCGAATAGGGCCCTGGTCTAAGTGAACTATTTTGTCCAGACGTTTCGTCAGCTACTGCGCCTGACATCCTCAGTGGTAGTGCTGCGTTGACAATGTGAATAATCTACGCAGTAGCTGACTTATATTCATTCTACTATGGATTCCGGCCGTGAAAGCTTTTGTTCTTATATTATTACATCCTCCGGTCTTCTCAGTTTTTACTGAAGACCGGCTGATCCAAACAATCTCACTCACATCTTTTGGGATACGATATGGAAACCAATGGGTATTATTGAATTTTTCGTAGAACTAGCAGTACTTCTTGCCCTACAATATAATCGGTGATTATTAAAAAGTCCGCTTCTAATATAACCTATTGTGTTATCTCTGGAAAGGGGGATATGACAGAAGTGTTAAGAAATTTGCATACTATTCCGCACGTATCAAGAATTATTAATTTTTGATGATGTACGTAACTTTATGCAGCAACTTGGTAAGGATAGCATGTAATGTTTTACGTATAGCCACTATTGATGAAATTATTATGGGGATAATTCGAATTGTGTTCTGATTCCACATTTATTTTATTTCATTGATGGTCAAAAGAACATACTTTTGAATTTTGTCAATGCTTTTGTTTAAGATATAAGTTTAAACTTTTCGGCTAATAGCGACTGTATCTGTTTAGCAACATTATTACGCATGTCGGTGTATTGTCAATGGAGCACATTTGATTTCCTTAATTAATTTCTTTTTTTACGGATAAACGTCCAAATTAAATAAATCTAGTTACAAATACAATCGTAAGTCAGCATTTGTTATAAGATGTTACCTTTAATAAAGTAAACAAGATTGTAATTTCTAGTTTCGGTGATATCAATCTCTTTTTGTAAGCGGATTGTCTACAACGTATTGTAATGGTTGCTATAAACAATAAGCTTTTTTGTTACAGTTTTTCAACTGTGAAATTAAATTTGTCAAACAAAAAGATACAATGTACCATTGCACAGTTTAAATAGCAAGGGTTGAGCCAGGTATATGCATAAGATTCTAAACTTGATTTTTGCAGTATATTTATGAGTTAAAAAAGGATTCGGTGCGAGCCTCAACAATTCTGAAAAAATTATATTATATTGTCCCATTGCACTTATGTAGTATTGTTCAAGGAATATGGCCACCAAATAATGAAACCGAACATAAGGGTCGGTTTCATTAGAAACAGATATAGTGTCTCCAAAATCTGCACAAACCTAAAATCTTCACAATTTTTTCTTACGAAACCTAGTTGCTGCAACGATTTATTGATAATGTAGATGTGGGACAATCAAATAGTAACTTATCGTAAAAAAATACATCTACTGTATTTCTGATAGTGATCATGTACTCAAGGGGAACATTAGTAAGCGGATATGTGCTTCTCTTGATGAAGATACATTTGTTTGGTAGAATGAAGATTCGGGATAAAGGGCCGTGCTCTAAGTGGACTATTCTGTCCAGACGTTTCGTCAGCTACTGCGGCTGAGATCCTCAGTGGTAGTGCAGGTAAACAGTCACTGTGGAGACTTCGAGATATATAATCTACGTTTACGTTGGCAACGCAGCACTACCACTGAGGATGTCAGCCGCAGTAGCTGACGAAACGTCTGGACAGAATAGTTCCACGGCCCTATAGCCCGAATCTTTATTCTACTATGGATTCATAAGTAGATTTAATACACTTGAAAATTTTTAGTCCGTAAGCAAATATTCAGTAAAACATTCTACTATGCCATTTATAAGGATTACAAATAATACTGGACTCAGATGGGACTGTGTCACATAAAGTTTACAAATAATAGAGGGTCTAAATGGGATTCATGTGGAACTCCCGAAGGTATATTAATTTCTTCTAGAATAAAGTTTTTGTATTTCACATATTCAGCAGATTGCCCACAAATCCAAGCGATTTGAGTTTTGCTAAGTGAATAACATAGTTAGCCGCATCAAAAGTTTTGAAACTCAACATATACCCACCATATTCACGATAAATTTTTGTAAGGACTCAAAAAGAGAAAAAAGGAACACAGGACAAAACAGGATTTTTGAGTATGTTACGTATAATCTTGGCTTTTTTGTAATATTTATATTTAGAAATAATTCTAGAGTATAGGATTATCAGGTGGCTGTGAGTTGAGCTTATGAGATTATATCTGCTTCTTCTTTTTGACATACATTTATCTAAAAAAATTATTATGATTTCCGAGGTACGAAAATCCATAGTTAGGTCTTACAATTAGTGAGCCCTGGATATTTTTACATGATTAAGCTACACGTGATGACGCCCATGTTTGAATGAAGAAAATGAGATATTTGTGGTATTAGTTTTGGTTCAGTACGACCTGAATGCGTCTCTTTTGCTGGAAGAGCTTATTTTTCTGTTATGGAAAAAATTAAAAGCTACTTACATACTTGTATTTGGACAGATTTGCTTAACTACAATGACAAAAAATGAAAACAGTTGTATTTACTATGCTGTGTTAATTTCCCATTAACGACTCTTAGTTGAGTCTTTTTCTACTATGAAAGGATTCAACTATGAAATGTTAAATGGAAAATTAACACAGCATAGTAAATCCAACTATTTCATTTCTCCCAGTGTAATAATAATCGAATCACAAGGCATATTCAATTCCTACTGAGAATCCAGCGCGGACTATCTTTGTGAAACCTGAAACAAGGAAATCTTTTAAAATATATATAAGTACTGGACTCCTTTTAATTAAAAATTAAAAATTGAATAATTAAATTAATTAAATTAGTAAGCAAGTATTTTATATTAGTAGGTAAATTGTGAGTAATTTTTAATACTGACTTTTCGTCTTGTATAGAGTTTTGTTTTTCAACAGCAAATCTCCATTTACTTAATTATGTTGATTGGTAATTTAGCTGTCTGAATTTTTTGGGAAAACTGTATTGATTTTGTTTCTGGATGATTATGCATTCACGTATCACAAAATCAGGTTTCTGCAATTTAATAAATAAAACTATGCAGAATAACTTAGGATACCTAATAATCAGTAAAAAAAAAAAAGTGTCTCCTAAACTTTTGAAGCTACAGAAAGCTTAATAAATCGCTCTTATTTTATGGAATCCTATATTAAATGATAACAAATGAAAGACATTGCACCCTATCACATCCACCCTATATGTGCTGGGACCGACTTCTGAACCGCATGAAGGTTATTCTCATTAAATCATTGCAAAATAATATTTATAACCAGGGCGGCAACAACGTTGCAATTTGACTGGGTGCTCACCAAAAAAAAAGTTCTCATCATAATATATAAATGACTAAAAAAAAAAGATCATTTCGGCTGTTCATTTACGAACTTGAACTGTTTGAACCGAGTTATTATCTGAATCGACTGGGATTGACTGGGTGCCCAACCCAAATCAAGTGGGTGCCCAAACCAATCGAGGGTGACCGGGCACCCGTGGACCCCCCTTGTTGCGCCCCTGTTTATAACACTGCAATGGAATTATTGAAAAGCCAAAATAATTTAACGATTTAACGACAAAATTAATTCACGGAACTTTAGCGATTTTTCCACGAAACCCTTTGACTGTGCCTGTTTATACACTACATTACGTAATGAAAAATTCATCAAATTTTTAACCCTCGCTTTCCTCACGTCACAGAATCGTATCATATTGTCTGATCTCCCCATCCCTCCTTATTTTGTGATGTACTTCGTGCATTGTAAAAGTTTTAGGCATGAATTCGTAGAGGAAAAAATATTTAATTTCCAATAACAGTTCACTTTTAAATAAATAATTACAATTTTTAATTAAAATGTGGTGTCACTTTGTGAAACATTGGATGACTACATATTGTTAACTTTCCGGTGGCTGAATCGTTGATTAACGATTCTTCCCCCATGTTACAGGGCCGTAACGCCAGACTGCTCTCCCCTCAACTTGCGTTACGTAAATGGACAATTCCTTTTAGGATTTGCTAGTCTTTCTAGATGATGGCTTAGAATTCAAGAGGTCATCGGCTTAATTCGTGGTCTGCCTGCTTTAACCCAACTTTTTATGTGATTTCATGGGATACTATAAAAATAGTCCTTAGATAGTGTCCTTCACTGTTCTTCTGTCTTCGTCATGTTCGTCTTTTTTTCCTCTCCATAACCATCGCAGCCCATCCATTCCCACAATTACTAAAGGAGGCCGAAGAGAGTCTTGCACCTTACCCACCACATTGCTCCACAGTGTGGGTCGGTAGGAGAATCCATTTACCGGCATCTACCGATAAAAATTTAGAAATGGAGCACAATGAAGTTTTTTTTAAGAATTAAGTATTACATTTTTAAATTTTAGTAAATCCGACTTGAATGAAGTTAGATTTCATTTACATAAAGGTAATATTATGTACTAACAGAGAGTTAATTTTACTAATTGCCAGTGTATGGGATGAATATATTTCAAATTACCAAGAGGTGTTTTAAAAAGGTATATAGGTACCCCCCTGATTAAAATTGCAAACAAGCCTTTATAATAAACTAACGAACCGCCCCAGCTTCGCACGGGTGCAATGCTAATACTAAACATGTATATTTTTGTTTTGTTTAGATTATTATCGAGAAGGGGAAATCTTCAAAAGATACCCCCTGAACATACTAAATATACTACAGAATGTCTTTATATACAACATTCATAGTTTTTTTGTCATTAGACAATACAAACCGGCCTCCCGGCCGGTACCGCCGCAACCGCTATGTCCCTGCATTT